CTGGATGAGATATTCATTCACTGACTGTGGTAATGAAGGTAGGCGTGTCTGAGACAATAAGATTGGCACCAGGTAGAGCAGAGTTTATGGCTGTTGTACATAGGGGCGCTGTAAGCCACAGGCGACTTGATGGCATATAACAACAACAACAATACTTAGATCATAGGGTTTCTTTCTGTTTTGAAGCTTTAATCTTGCATAGGTTTCTATGGACTTTGTGCCTGATAACTTTAAAAATTTTTGCTTCATCCTAAATGTGCTATCATTGAATAGATTTGGACTTGATCACTTATGTGTATGGATTTGTAGAACCTTCATCGTTGTCACCTCCTTGTGTTAAATATTACAGATTATTTTCATTTATGTGTAGGCAGTAGTATAACTGAAAATGGTAATATTTAAGAAATTAGTGCTGGTGTTGCTATTGGTCACCTACTAAATATGGGCTAGTATGTATTTTTATTTATTGCTGGAGTTTGGTACTCATATAGCCATAATATGAATTCTGTTTTCTTTTAAAAAGTAAAATAAAAGTTATATGGAATTTAAAATAGTTATATAGTTTTCTTAAGATCATTGACTTTTTTTTTAACTGTACCTTTCACAGGTTTTTATAGTGTTTGACAATTATTTATTAATGTTAATTTGCCATATTTTATTTTTCTTTAGCAAAATATAATTAGTTCTTTCTTTTCTGATTCAAAATTGTAGACTTATACAAGCACTACCAGCAACTCCATGTCAGGATCATTGAAGCGCTTGGAAGATACTGCAGCAAGATTTACGAATGCGAATTTCCAGGAAGTTTCTGCTCATACCTCTAGTGGAAAAGAGGTTTCTGAGCCTAGAGGGTCAGAGGGAAAAGGGAAGAAATCTTCAACACACAGCTCTGGTCAAAGGGGAAGAAAGCCTGCTGGTGGAAGAAATCCAGGAACAACTGTGTCAGCTGCTAGTCCTTTTCAACAAGGTATTAGTATAACTAAAATACTTATGATGATTAATATTAAAGTTTTGCTGAAGAATTTTTCTTCTCTTTTCACTAATGGATCGTTTGTGATGATTGATAACGTTACTTCATAGACTGTAGTGTTTTTTGCCCAATATTTCTGAGACTTTTTCCTTTTTATCTTTTGCTCAGTGTACCCAAATTTGAATTGTACTTTTAATGCTTAAATAGATGTGAGTAAATGTAAGACTCGGGAGAAAAACCTTTAAACCTGGACTATTCCTTTCTAATCTGTTGAACAGTTATCCTTTTTTTCAATTACTTTTATTTATCTTTCCCATTAAATAGTAATTAAACTTGAAAATAATTTACCAAGCATTGAGGGAAAGCTATTGATTAATAGTGATATGAAAAGTTGAAATTATTTTGTTGAGAGACACACATGTGCATTTATAAAATGAAAGGTGGCTAGAATTCGCAGGCAAATTTAAGGATGTCTTTCTTTGGTAATGTAGTTGGTAGGAGTTGCCCTGCCAGCCCAAAGGCACACAGTTGAAATGTACCAGGTACTCCATAGGGGGAATGATGTTTAATCTCTTCCCATGCACTTTATAGCCTCAGGAAAACCCCTGGAAGGTCAGGTATGAGTCAAATCTGACGGGATAGCACGTAACAATTCAATTTGAGTTCCAGATAATCAATAATGTCTTAGTAACAGTGAACCCCAAATACCTCATGCAATATACTTACGTGTGAAAATAATTTGTTGTTGAATAAAAATAGAAGGGGTCGTGGTACTAGGGATATCGTTGCTGATGTTAGATGGATCTT